TATATTTCAAGTTGATTTGTGGACAAACAATCTGATATTATTCAATCCTGCACTATATAATGTAGATTCTGGTTTTGACCCATTAGAAGAAATTCTAATATTCAAAGATTAGAGTGAAAAATCTCAAATTGGTACACCAGATTATATGATAATTAGTTGTGAAATTCATAATACATATGATATTTATGAACTGGTGCATACATGTTTGTGTATTGTATTTGTTGGTAGTCTCATCTATAAGTTTTATTTGTTGGCACTCTTTTAATCGAAAGTGTATCTATATTAAAAGATAATTTGTGTCAGAAGTTGCCTAAGGAATTTTGATTGGGAAGGTTGGTAAAATCTTGTTAACTGTTTGCCATATGGAAAAATGTATCTTTCCAAATTAAAAATAGTTTTTAATTCTGAAATGGTGTGACCCGTTTGAATTGTGTAGCATGAAATATCTGTCCAGATAGTATATAAATGTAAATTGATTTGTAAAGTCAAATTGCACATGGACATTGTGAATTTTATATGCTAACCATTGCGTTCCTTCATGTTTAAACTGCCTCAATTCAAAGTTATCAAGAAATAAATTTACTAAACCTATGAAAGATGCATGTTGGGATAATTTTAATCGTTCAAAGGATGTTGTCTTTGGCTTTGTCAAAATCTAGTAATACTGAAATTTATAGTTTGTGCATAATTCCTTACTTTTAATTTATACGCATATCATCCCAATAACTTTTGTTATCTTACTATGGCAAATCATTATGCATTTGAATATATTACTTACACGAGAAGGCATATTTTAATTGATAAATATGCCCATAAGGGTATTGGCATGACTATGCATTTATTTTAAGTAGGCAACTTTGTTGGGTATCTATATGATAATCATGTGAAGCGAATTAGTGTATTCATTTGATGAATCCATACAAGCGTTTGGATTTTGGATAGACCTTTTTGGTTAAAATGGTCTAGTTGGTTAAATTTTTATATCTTGTTGAAATTATACTAATTTTGATTAATGTTGACAGCCTCATTTAATCCTATAGAATCAAGTGAGATGATTTAAGTGGATATAATTATTTAGTTATAAGAATTAAGCCACTTAATTATTTGAAATATTCTACGATCAATTTAGATGAAAAGGTGCGTACTTTGATATGAATAATCATGACTTTTGGTATGATTATTTTTCAATGGGTGTGCCTCTTCATAGAGATTAATTCAAGAGGTGTGTCCTTTTGTAGGGTTCTATCTTTTGAAAAACACAACTTTTCAATGTACGGTTGATTCGTTCGTTCAAGTTTGAATATGATGAATAAGGTTAATATGTAGTTTATTATTTGACATAAAATGAAACTATCATGAGAAATGTCACAAATGTGATAAGTTGCATATCTTGCAATGCTTAGCCCTCTTTATTGAAACCAATTAAGTTGGTATATGTTTTGAAAGCATTGTTGGTATATGATAGCCTTGATTTAATTTGGACGATCAAAATTAATTAGATTGAAGTACGTTATATTCAAGTTGACGATCACTACTTTGAAAGTATATAGACTTTCACGAAGTACTCGATTTAGATATTATCTAAGAGATAAATGAATAAAACTATAAAAGAGTTGCTAAATTTTAAGTTCAAGTATAACCAAGAGTGTGGAGGGTTAAACTTAATGCTTGTGAACTTGAAATGGAAAGTTCAAAACTTATGGATGCAACATTACTAGATTGCATATGTTTTCCTAATTGAGGAATTGTGGGGGCAACTCAGTTTAACAGTTACGTTTGCTTCTATCTTATAACCACAGAACGATATCTATGAAGGTAAAAAGATAGAAAACCCTTATACTAATTATAAGGATGATATATACTAAGTCTAAAAGTGGATGAAACGGGTTGTAAAGCTGATTGTGGCGTTTGTTTAGACATGCACGAACAACTGGAATATATGAAGAATACTCGTAAAGTTCAAATGCATGGTAATGTTTCAATGATGATATTGAATACCCATGATTCTGAAATCCACTAGTAAAAGTCATTGACTAGTGTAGTGTTTGATAGAAATCTTCCAACCGTGTTTGGAAATTGATAAAGCTAATGAGGCATATAGCTTCATGAGAAGATTTCTTGGTGGCGACAATTTGCATCTATCAAATAAATCGATCGTTGGCTAGCTATATTTGATAAGATACTAAGTCACATGTAATGGTAGATCTAGACGTATAAGTCTAAGCAGTTGATCTCAATGGTATAAACTTGTGGTACCTTTAAAAGAGATTTACTAAGAAAGATCAAGAAGACTGCATATCAAAGGGAATGGGATTGGAGCCTACTACGTTAGAATCATCGTAATGGTAACCCTACCTTGTTGACCGGAGATCCCAAGATCTTGGTTCAAAGGGACAACTAAGTTATGAAAATTCCATAAAGCACTTAGGAAAATAATTTTCTAACTCATTCCTATGATATTAAAGTGCTTTCTGCAGAGTTGCAAGAGGTTAAGATAATCTTTTAATGATTCCTATATCTTGATTAAGTTAAGTGGAGTAGGGTAGAATATTCTTAATAGGAGGTCACCTATGTGGGTGTAAAGTGTAGCCGCTTCAATGAGAATTATTCAAGGCTTAAATTTTCTAAACACTCGTAGAACCAAGAAGGGTTCAGAGCCAAAATGAACCAAGTCATGAGAACCATGAACGATTTAAGGAAGACATTGTGTGAGTATCGTTGTCTTGGCTTACACTAAAGGGTAAATGGTTCAAGACATCACGTTCACCAATTAAGCCAAGTAAGTCTGATGGTATTTCACTAAGGGAGGTTCAAGGCCAAAAGCTACCTTCCCCGATACAGTGTTTTTTCGCACCCTCTCTACATTACATCATATCATCGCACTTGCATATGCGTACCTAGTTTCCATTCATGTGGGGGATTGTAAGAATTGGTTCAAATAATTAACCAAAAATTGGAAAATGAAAAGGTGTGTAAAAGTGACAAATGAAAAGGTGTGACTACGTGTCAACTTCGATCAAATATTCGGATTTGATCCGATAGTCAAATTACAAAAATAAATAGACCAACTTTCTACTCATCGAGTAGATCGTCGTGGTATATCTGAAATCTCGAAACCAATTTCGAATGAATGAGAAATTGCAGACCAAAGTTGGAAGAAATGAAGTATTGCAACTTTTCAAAAGGATGCAGGTTTTGACCAAGTGTTGCAACTTTTTCAAATGATGCATGTTTTGGCCCACACTATTTCATTTGTACCCTTTCTACATCTATAAATAGAACCCTATGAACATGATTTTGGGTACACCAATTGCATTGAGCATTCATTCTCCTCTTGCAATTCTCTCCTTTTTAATTCTATAGCATTTTCATGCATTTCCTTGGTAGAGAGGAATTTCGTTTGAATTCGTTGGTCGAAGCCATTTGGAGTGCTCCTATGGCTTGACGTGGTCGTTGTATTTTCCGAGATGATTGTCAAAAAATTGTTAGCACCGATGTGGGGCAAATTCACCTTAAGGAAAGAGTTATACTTGCCTCGGCCAATCGCATCACTTGCATCTAATTTTTATTTTCTTATTTCTGTTTTGATTATTTGATCTCAGAAAATGATTAATTTTCTTTATATGGTTTATGCAAGGTTCAATATGAAGAATCACATGTTTTAATTCAAGAATGGAAATGGTCAGATTCGATAATCATTGGTTTGATTCAAAAGAATAACTTGCTTTCGTTTAAGAATCGAAAAAGATGAATCAATATTCATGCATTCGGATTCGGTAACTATTATTGTTTTACTTTTCAAATTTTATTTTGGTAAGTCGAAATTACGTTTCGATTTCACGCAAATAAACGGTATGCTTATCGATGTATTCTCCAACACTAAGAAATGATTACAATGATCATTTACAGATTGGTGATGCCACGCAAACCAAGGTTGTAGGAGAAAGCAAGCTTAATGGAAGAATCTTGGTCGTATTGAAAATATTCTAAAATACAAAACATTCAGGAATTTTGTATATGTTAGATATTATTGAATTTGTTTGAATCTAAACTATTTCAAGTATTCTTTGGCCATGGGTACTTCTATAATTTCAGAAAATATTTATTGAGAGAGAGAGAGAGAGAGGAAGATGCTTTATTCAATTAGTGTCAAGTAATACCTCTCTTGCAATAAAGTTATTAGTTTTAGGTTAAGTAAAGTTTTCAAATTTAGCATGTTGAGATATTGCCTACATCTATACTCCAATCTATTTTTCCTTTGTGTTGACACTAATAAGCATCCCTAGGATTACCCTCAATCAGGGTGCCGTGATTGGATATTAAAATTTTCTGTTGTTCAGGTGCATACAAGTAAGGGCTGAATTACAAACATTGTTTCATCTCTTTCCCAACTTTGTTGCGAAACTATGGGCTGGTTACTGATGTTTTGGCGCAAACAATCTACAGGCAGTCTTATCAATTTTCTTTAGATGCTTTCTTTTGGATTATATAAAAAAAAATCCTTTCATGAATACAAGATTTAAATGAATGCATGATTGCTTCTTTAATAGTTTAAGCCTTTAGATGAGTTGGTTCATATGGTGTTGGACCTTTGATAAAAAAATGAATGAGCGTAAGTATGTAGGGCATGTCGAATAGATGATTTAAAAAAAATACATTTGTTCCCTATTTAGTAGCTTAAACTTTTAGAATGGAGGTGCGATGGGGGTTAACATGGGGTTAGAGTCAAGCAAAAGTCCTGATTCACGTCTCGTCCCCACCCATTCATATGCATGATTTGATATTTGATGAAAAATGTCTACTCATAAAGGAGCATTTTAAAGACAGTTTTAAATCAATATAAGAGGCCTTGTCTCCTATAGTTTAATCTTTTGAAAAAGATTGTTAATAGCCTTATTACTTTTGATTCCTTGAAGACTTCTTCATTCTTGAGGAGAACGTTGATATAAATGTTTACTTGATCCCCGGTAGAATAAAATTTTGATAGCATGGTTGTTGATGTATGATACAACTTGGGCAGCCTTCTACTGTCAAAGTTGTTGCAAACCTCGTCAGATTATTATTTTACAATAATAAGGTATGTATTTAATTTCTCTTCTTCTTCCTGTCTCCTAACCATATAACAACTGCATGTTAAAACCCTCCTGCATTTGGAAAGTACGTTCAAGGGAAATATTTTTTGTTTTGATACTTGGTGTTATGCCCCTATCTAAACCACTTCGAAAAGTCTGCCACTGCGTCATACGAGGTGTCCAACACCCATACGAAGTGTCCAACCACTTCGGACCACTGTTACGCCCCCTATCTGAACCACTTCGAAAAGTCTGTCACTGCATCATACGAGGTGTCCAACACCCATACGAAGTGGTTCTCGAAGTGACTCCACCACTAATGTTAGCGAACTACTAACGCGCTGCGAGGCACAAACAATTCTATTGAACCAACCGAAGTGTTCTTGCCTTTGACGCCGAAGCGCAATGTACTCCGATGATCTCTGTCAAAGGATCCGTCGCCAATTTTAGAAAGAGATCTATGTCAAGATCCTTTCTATCCCCAAGGTTTAATTGATTTGACGTCTCCATGGGCCTAGTTGATGTGACGTATCAACTTTATATCAACTCAACTCGGGAGAAGTTATTACCCACCCACTCTATAGATGCAGCTGATTGACGCCTATGAGCAAACGCCTCACACCGTCAGATGCATACACGTGTCCCACATCTAACGGTTCTCCTCAACTATAAATACCCAAGGTTTGACAAGAGGCAAAGGTAATGAAACTCTTATGACTTAGCTCTCCATAACAAGCAAATATATATTCTCCTCCTCACCATTTTTTGCACAATCTTGGCACTATTCCGATCACTAGATGCTGCGATCGTCGCCACCCCCGTTGGTTCTGACCGTGCGTTGACTGTGCGCAGGAAGGATTACGTGGAGCAGCTATCGATTGGCCATGTGGAGGGTCCAATTCACGAGGTCAATGGATTGGCGCCGTCTGTGGGAAACTTCCAATCCCATCTAAAGTTCTACATTCTTCACTGAAAAACCCTTGACTTATCCCAAAAAGGGGACGTTCTTGAAAAAGAATAAAGTCGAATTACAACCCAGATCATCATCACCCTTGAAAAAGGAGTAGATAAGATGAGTTCTAGCAATGAGGACGCAAACCCCAGGATGGACGCCTCTGAAAAAGAGGTGCTCTGAAACAATTTCACTCACCAAAGACCCCATCACCGGCGTCGTCGAGGTGAGAGAACGGTCACGCTCACTGAAGGAATGGTCCAAATAGCTACGGGCGTGAAAGAGATCGCATGAATATGGCGATGCATGAATTCTTCATGCAAGCCCAAGGTTACCAGGGCGCCCAAATGCCCAAGGAATCTTACCCAGCTTGTGAAGTCCCTACGTCTCATTTTCGAGAGTATATGAGCCAGCACAGAGAACTCCCCTCGAGAGAGAAGTGGGTACGGAAGTCACATCCTATGTGCAAGGGAGCCAGCCAACAGAACTGCAATTGGGGGACAACTTCCCACCAAAGTATGAAGCACAAAGGTCAGTCAGTGTCTTTGACCGAATAGGGCGAGACCATAGTAATAGGGTCCGCTCAGTGGAAAGATCAGTTCGATAAGGGAAAAAGCAAGAACAAGCACCCCTTCCACCTAGAAATAGGAAGGAGAGAAGAAATTTAGTTGATTGGGGTAGCCGAGGAAGAGCACCTCCACCCCACAGAACATGCAAGATGATGGGGACTCTGAAGGGCCGTGTCGATCTTACGAGATTGATGATGATGATGATAATCTCCCTTTCTCAAGGGAGATCCGAGGCTCCCCAATGCCTGCGAACTTCATACTACCTAAAATCTTCAAGTATGAAGCAAAAGGGGACTCGGAGAAGTACCTCACGAAGTACATGACACAGATGAGTCTCAGGGGAGCCTCGCCTGCTTTGAAATGTAGAGCCTTCCACCTAACTCTGGTCGGAGCCACTGAAGTGTGGTACAGCAGGCTGCCTCCTCTAAGCATTAGGAGTTGGCTAGAACTAAAAAAATGCCTTCTTGAACCAGTACCTCTCACGTAGAGAAGGACAGGCCCCAGTATAACGCCTGCAAGATATGAGACAAGCCCCTAGAGAAACGCTCAAAAGCTACCTCGCTTGTTTTACGGACGAGATCACCTACTACGAACATGTCACTGACAGAGAAGCTCTTTCAGCCTTGAAATGCTGCCTCAACATGAACATTTTGTTTTGCAGGGATGTGCGCAGCAAGAATCCTACCACTTATGATGAACTGGTGGAAATTATGAGAGTTGAGATCATCAGTGAAGAGATGATTGATCACCAAAATTGTGCCACATGGGGACTCCCTCGGCCTCAGAGGCAGGTAAGTCGAGGACCCGCAGCGCACCTTGTCACCCAACAATAGACCCAGGCAGGGCATACAATAGCTCCCACGTCCGGACAGGCACTAGCTTCTGCCACGCTAAATGCAGTGCCGGTATTGACATACAAGAATGCCCCTGCTGAGACGGGACCATCTAGGGGTACTGATAGTAGTAGAAAGAAGAAGAAGAAGCGGTCAAGGAAGCCCTTAGAAGGGGCAAGGTTCTGCACCTTCCACGAACTCTATGGACATAACACCAGTGAATGCAGAGATGCTCTGCGATGCTCAGATCGGAATAACCCACATCCCTCCGGGAGGGACCAACATCTCTGCAGATTCGCCTCTCCGAATAGGGCGGAAAGGAGGCAAACCCCGAAGAAGAGGATCGAGGGACAGAGGAGAGTTCGGATAGAGAGATCATGCCCCATTTTCTGGAGGCCAAATCATCAGGGAAATTGGCACGATCATCGAGGCACCTCACATTGGTGGCAACACTAGGAATGTCCAAAGGAACTACACAATGGGAGCAAAGGATCCATCGATGCTCACGTACATCGTCAACCAGTCCCAAGAAGCCAACAGGATGGCCCCGATTACCTTCTCCCAAGAAAATACACTAGGAGTTCACCATCCCCATTGTGATACATTGGTAGTAAGAATCATAGTAGCAAGAAACGGACTCAAACGCATGCTTGTCGACAATGGCAGCTCGATGATCATACTGTTTCGCTCTACCTTTGAAAAAATGTAAATTGAACATGGGCTAATCCTCATGACCGACCCACTATTTGGATTTACTGGAGACAGCATCATCCCATAATGACGAATTACTCTGCCCGTCGAGATGGGTTCAGCTCTCCTAGTGGCCCAACATTTCATGGAGTTCTTGGTAGTGGACCACAGGTCAGCCTACCACAGAGTATTGGGCAGACTTGCCTTGAAAGATCTTTGGGCTATCACCTCCATACATTACTTGTGTATGAAGTTCCCAACGGAGCATGGAATTGCTACGATTCGAGGAGACCAGATGGGTTCCAGAGCATGTTATTTAAAGCCCCTACAAAAATCAGAGCCCCGCAATGTTAATGTAATCATAACGAAGGTTGCGAATGAATCCGACCTGGATGTGGAAATGCTCGATGCCCCTGAAATAGGGCATACATCCGAATAGGAGGAAGACGTCGACATGGAAGAGGCCCCTGAAGAAGGGTACCCTCTTGACGAATTAGACCCCCGAATAACTGTCTCAGAACAGAACGCGACCCCAATGGAAGAACATGAAACTTTCTCCGTCAACTCGAAGGACTCCAGTCAGGTCCTACGGATAGGAAAGATGTTGTCCCCCGAAGCGAAAGAACAAATGATAAGCTTCCTTAAAAGGAACGTGGATGTCTTCGCTTGGAAGAAGACATGGTAGGAATAGACCCAAGAATCAGTTGTCATCGCTAAAACATCAATGCCTCATGTGTCCCACATCGGCAGAAAAGATGAGTCCTCAACCCGGAGAGATACGAGACGCTCAAAGACGAAGTCAATAAGCTTAGCCGCAGTGGCTTCATCAGAGAAGCCATTTATCCGAAGTAGATATTCAACCCAGTCCTTGTGAGGAAGCCTAGCGAAAAATAGAGGGTGTGCGTAGACTTCACGAATTTAAACAAAGCATGCCCCAAGGATAGTTTCCCACTGTCGAGGATAGACCAACTTGTGGATTCCACTGCTGGACATGAACTCTTGAGCTTCATGAATGCGTACTCAGGATACAACCAGATACCTAGGGATGTAAACGAGCCGGGTCGAGCCGGCTCGCGAGCCTAAAGTTTCGGCTCGGGCTCGGCCCGGTTAAAGTGACCGAGCTTTTTTGCGGGCTCGAGCCGAGCCGAGCAAAAGCTCGGCCAAAAAAAATAGGCTCGGCCTGAGCTTTTGCTCGGGCTTTTTACGGGCCGAGCCGGGCAGGCTCGTTTTCTCCATCCTTTTTTTTTTTCCTTCAGCTGCCTTAAAAGGCAGCAGTTTTGCTGCCTTGAAGGCAGCGACTACTGCCTTTCAAAGGCAGCAGTTCGTTGCCTTAAAAGGCAGCAAGCTGCTGCCTTATATTTAAGGCAGCAGTTTTGCCTTTAAATTTAAATTTTTTTTTATTTTTTTTAAAGATCGCGAGCTCACGGGCCGGCTCGGGCAAAGCCCGTGTCCCCAAAATGGGGCTCGGCCCGAGCTTAGGCTGGGGTCTACCGAGCCCCGAGCCGAGCCGACTCGAGCTTTTCCCGAGCCGAGCCACGGGCGGCCCGAGCCGGCGAGCCCGATTGCCATCCCTACAGATACCCATATTTTGACCTGATGAGGTGGCCACGTCGTTCATCATAGATAGAGGACTGTACTGCTACAAAGTCATGCCATTCGAATTGAAAAATGTCGGAGCTACATATCAGAGACTGGTCAACATGATGTTTGCCAAATTTATTGGCAAAACCATAAAAGTCTACATGGACGACATGCTAGTCAAAAGCCTCCACCAGACCTTTCAGATTCTTAGGAAGTACAAAACGAAATTGAACCCCCTCAAATGCACCTTTGGCATGGCTTTGGGTCAGTTTTTTGGGTACATTATGAACCAAAGGAGAATCGAAGCGAATCCGGTAAAGATTAGGGCCTTACTAGAAATGAGGTCGCCTCAGAAGCCGAAGGAGTTCCAAAGCCTCAACGGGTGGATAGCTGCGCTCAGTCGCTTTATCTCCAGAGCCACTGATAAGAGCCTACCTTTCTTTAAAGTGTTGAAACAAGGGAAGAAGTTCCAATGGATCGTTGAGTACGAGAAGCCTTCCAAGCATTGAAGAAGCACTTAGGAGAGGCGCCTCTATTATCCAAACCTAAACTGCAGAAATCACTACTGCTATGCTTGGCGGTCTCGAACGAGGTGGTCAGTGCATTTATAGTTAGAGAGGAAGAGGAGCATCAATTGTCGGTATACTATGTCAGCAAAGCACTATTCCCGGCAGAAACCCGCTACCCCGGCATGGAAAAACTGGCACTCGCCCTCATCATGGCGTCAAGGAAACTGAGGCCATGTTTCCAGGCCCACTCAATTGAAGTTCTCACCAACTTCCCATTGAAGCAGGTACTGCAAAAAATGGAAGCTTTGGGCCACCTGCTAAAATGGGCAATTGAGCTCAGTGAGTTCGACCTACGGTTCCGACCCAAACATGCCATCAAGGGACAAGCCTTGCAAATTTTGTGGCTGAATTTGCCGTAGCGCCAGAAATGGAGGCAGCAATGGAACTAGCAGAACCCCCAACATGGAACTTGTTCGTGGATGGATCCTCAGGAAAAACTGGCTCCGGAGCTAGAATCGTCTTGGAAAGCCTGAAAGGCCACAAGCTAAATTGCGCAGTAAGGTTCGGCTTCAAAGCCTCGAATAACGCTACTGAATATGAGGCCCTTCTAGCAGGCCTTAGACTTTCAAAAGAAATGCAGGTCGAAAGGCTCCTCGCAAGCAGCGACTCTCAACTTGTGGTGAGTCAAGTTAATGGGAACTTTGCCGCCAAAGACAGTAGCATGGCTACATATTTAAAATTGGTCTTGGACCTAATCCCACATTTTGAGAGGTTCGAATTGATCCAAGTCTCACACCTCGAGAACACTCATGCAGATGCCCTGTCAAAATAGGCTAGCAACAAAGACTCAGAGCTGCTAAAGATTGTCCCCATTGAACGCTTGTCGAAGCCCTCCATCTCCGAAGGTAAAGAGTTGTTATGAATAGAAAGTACCGCAGTATGGATGCAACCCACATGGCCTATCTCAAGGATCAATCGCTACCAACTTCAAGAAGCGAGGTGAAGAAGTTAAGAAGGAGAGCCTCGCACTTTGTCCTATAAGAAGATGCCCTCTACAAAAGAGGCTTTGCCTCACCACTCCTTCGATGTGTAGGAGGGGAAAAAGCCACGTATATACTCAGGGAGATCCACGAAGAGATCTGCGAAAATCATTCCGGAGGAATGGCTCTGGCACACAAAGTGCTCCGACAAGGCTACTTCTGGCCAACCCTGAAAAGGGATGCTTGTCAATTCGTTCAGAAATGTGATAAGTGCCAGCGCTTCTCAAATATTCAAAGACACCCTTCTCAAAGCCTCTCCGTTGTCAGTAGTCTATAGCCATTCGCCAAGTGGGGCAATGACTTCATCGGTCCACTTCCAAAAAGGAGAGGAAGCGCAACTTTTGTCATTGTCGCCATTGACTACTTTACCAAGTGGGTTGAGGCTGAACCTCTTGCCAAGATCATCGAGGTGAATACTACAAAATTCGTCTGGAAGAACATCATTTGCGGGTTCAGTATTCCCCACTCCTTAGTGTCCGACAACGGAAGACAGTTCGACGACAAGAAGATGCAAGACTTATTCGATGAACTGGGGATAAAAAAGGATTTCTCGATGCCTCATCACCCCCAAGCAAATGGACAAGTTGAGGTAGTGAACAAAATCATCAAGCATACCCTGAAAAGGAAGCTTGACGCCTCGAAAGGGGCGTGGATCGATGAGTTTTCCCATGTCCTCTGGGCTATCCACACAACTAGTCGAACTGCTACAGGGGAGACACCCTTCTCAATGACCTACGGAACCAAAGTCATTAGCCCTGTCTAGGTAGGAGTCCCATCACATCGTCGGATACACTTCAATGAGATCGATAACGACGAAGCTCAAACGAGCGAACTCCACCTCCTTGAAGAAATGAGGGATACCTCCTAAGTGAAACTGGCCAAGTATCAAATGAAGATGACCGACTATTACAACTCCAAAGTCAGAAATCGAACTCTTCGGTTGGGGGACCTCGTCCTTAGAAGGGTTTTCCAATCGTCAAAACCAATTGGGGTCGAAGTGTTTGGACCAAATTGGGAGGGTCCTTATCGCATTTGCAAGGAGTCCCAACCTGGAACTTTTGAAATTGAAGATATGACAGGAAGAGTACTGCCTCATCAATGGAACATCGAACACTTGAGAAAGTACTATCAATGATGAATGTATGTTCCGATCCAATCTCGATGCTGTCTAATATGTGTTTGTCACAATTCAATCTCATTTGTAACTTCTCTATCTTACTAAGTGCTAAAATTGCCTTAGTGATGGATGATGTAACTTCTCTAAGTAATGATACTTCAGTTCTTTGTGTCACATCGGTTAGTAAATTGTTACCTCAGCTCTTCAATATGTTATTAGTCTAATATTCTGTTATTGACTGGCTATTGGTAAGTGGCGCTCAATGTTTACTTAAGTGCTTGTCATTCATATACTCAAGTATAAACAGCTTAACACAATGAAAAGACAGAAGCAACAATACTTTAACAAAAATTTTCATTTCATTCATTTGAATTTGAATTACAAAAGAGGCTGAAGCCATTACAAGAATAACCCTATTCTACTGAGGCGTCTTCCGTGCCAGCCTCCGCCTCGTCTCCCTCAAGGACCTCTAGAGCTTTCTCGGAAAACCTATCAGGCTCTAAAGAGGATATGTCCAGAGTATGGTGGACCTCTTTTAGCCGACCCAATAGTCCTTGGGCACTCCAAGAGGCCAGTAGTTGGCAAAGTCAACGTACAGGGAGTGTTCCTCGAAATGATCGATAAAATTCTGCACCGCCGCCTCCCCTGTCGACTTCATCTCCCCCTTCAGGGAGGCAATCTCCTCAGCTTGGGCCTCCGTCCTCTGCCTCAGCTCAGCTTTTTCTTTATTGGAGGCCTCCAAAGCCTCTGTGGCGAGTCGGTGGAGTTCATTGGCATGATCCACTCTTCTGGTCATTGCAGTCACCTGGCACTCCACTTCATAGAGCTCATTCTTCAACCGCTCTATCTCTTCCTTGGCAGTCGCCAGCTGGGCCTCGACTTCTTTCCTTGTCTTGTCCTCCTCCGAGGCCTTGGCTCGGGCTTCCCGCACTGTGTCCCCATAATGCATCGCCTCCTCAAGGTGCTTGGCGAGGTCCTCTCTCTTGGCATTGAGGTCTTTCACCAAGCCCTCCAGTTGGATGCTTGTGATTAGGGCCCGGGCCACACAGGCATTGTTTGCAGCGACAAGGTCTTCGACGGTGTAGGAGGCAGTGTGGTCTCTTTATTTCTCTGTCTAATACTTGTTGTGGACCACCGCCATTATCGCCGTCTTTGGAAGAAGAGCCTCCAACACCTCTTTCACCAGCTCCTCGAAATTTGTGCCCAGAAGTCCTCCTCCTTCGAAGGGCAAGCTCTTTTCCTCTTCGATTACCTCGACACTTGGGCAATTGGAACAGCAGCAACTAGGGCTGTAGCTGGGCAGGAGAAGCCACAGAGGGTACAGGTGTCTTCTTCGGGATGGCCACCCCAGTGGGTATGGCGGTCTGCTTTAGAACCGGGGGCAGCTTAGCCACTGTTGGGCGCTTCGAAGGGCCAGCAGACTTCTTGCCCTTTCATGGCAAGTTGGCCTCCGGATCCTCCACCACCTCCTCCTCTGTCGGAGGTTGGACCCTCTTGCTGGCGTCCACCAAATCCTCCATCCACTTTTTGTATGTAGAGGAGGAGGTCTTCAAGGCTCTTGCCTCTGCCATCATCTTCTGGATGGTCTTGAAATTAGGCCTCGGGGGGCATCTTCCTACTAAAGTTATCTGCAAAGAAAAAAGTAAATTATTACAAGTGTAAAGGGTCTGAAAAATTATGACAAAGTATTCACTTCGGGAAATTTACCTTGAGAAGCCATCAGATCGTGCGTCACGAAGTGAATGTTCTTCCTAATCAACTGGTGTTATGACCTCTTCTTCGGAGATAGCTGGTAGATGATGCAAATGATTTCGAAGTCGTCTGTGGATATCTCACACCGAGGAAGAGTGCCTTCAAAATCAAACAAATATCAGTTACGTTTCGAACTGAAGAAGAATAAACATAAATGCAAAGTAACAGTACTCACTAAGGGTAGAATATTTCATGGGGACCGTAAGAGGCGCTAGGGGGTCCCCCTCCATCTTGTCATATCTCTCGGCAGCCCAGCACCCTGAGCTCTTCCACTTCTTAATGTAGCTCGACAGATCGAGCACGAATGGAATATTGGAACCCCATGAGGTCAGGTAATACCAACCCCTAGTCTTATCTCTCCCAGCCGCCACCTTGGGGATGTAGAGGGTTTGGAAGACAGAAAAAGGCATCTCTACCCTAAGCAACACCTCGTTCCACAACATCCAGGAACCTACCATTTGGTTCCAGGAGTTCGAGTTCAATTGGGTCGAAGCTAAACCATAAGACCTAAGGACTAGGCGGAAGAAAGGATGGATCGGGAGCCTAAGGCCAGCCCTAAGAATCGCTTTCCTAATTGCCACGTACCCTGGCCTAGGATAGCAGGCTCTCTCATCAAGTTCGGGTAGGATCAGATCTACACTGTCTGGAATTCTATATTCCGCCATAAGTCTATCCAGGTCAACACTTTTTAACTTGGAAGGGTAATCCGACGCCCCTCAATGCACAATCGTGTCTACTGGACTATCGGGCCTCTTCCAGATATTCTCCTCCCCAATTATCGCTTAGAAAATTTTGGAGGAGGTCGCCAAAATGGGCTCGTCCATTCGTACCAATTTCAGCCCTCGCCCCGAGCTACCGCTACCCTCAGAAGCCATTTTTTCAGAAACGAAGGATGTCAAATACTTACTGAAACTCACGAAATAGGGGCTCCACAGCCGAAAATGGTCAGGAAACATTGTAGAGTCGTCAGAAACTGGAGTTGTCGCCAGAAAAGGCTTGATGAACGCTGGAGATTGCAAGAGTTTTCAGAGCAAATGGAGTTTCTGATTTCGCAAAAGTGAAAAACTCCCCAAACGCTCAAGTCTACCTTTTATAGAGCGTCCCAGCTGATCTCCACTGTTGAATTCAAATGCAATCAATCTGGGCCGTCCATCGCATCATCAATCTAGGCCGTTGAAATGAAATGTCAGATTTGATCTACGCCCAAGATCTAGCTGTGACCCTCACGCTCACGTGAAAAGCGTTGCCTCGATCACCATCAGCCGTCTACAATAAGTAGCCGCAGTAGCCTTTTCTGGAAATGGGCATCGCGCACAACTGTCGCCTTGGAAATAGGCTTGTCAAATCATTTAACGTCAGAAATGTTCACCTCAGA